CCCTCTGTCCTCCACCTGTTTGACTCTCAGCCTCTCTACCCGCTCAACACATCTTTTTATAATGCTCGTCTTACATCTGCCTGCCCGTCATCCATCAATGAGCCTGGGTGACATCCAACTGCCTGTCGAAAGGGAGAGGGAAAAATAGTAACAGGGCAGAGGAGAGGAAGAGCAGGATGTAGAATGAAAGAGAGAGAGAGAGAGAGAGGGAGAAACAAGGCAGACCATAAAACTGCGGGAGCTTGTAATAGTGTTTCCTACTCATTAATTAGCTGCACTCGTTCCTGTACAAACACACAGTAATAAAACTGATTTACTGAGATCCTCTCCTCCTTCTCTCTCTGTATTCCTGTCTTTTACACTATTCTCCTCTTACCTTCTCTTTCTTCTTTCCCCGTTTCCTCTTGCTCCTTGCCTTTCATTGCTTTATTGTCTTCCCTTGTCCCTCTTCTTTCTTCATTAGGGATGGGGGGGGGTAAACCTTATCAATACCAGCACCTGTATTAGGTCCTGCCACAACATGGATTTTTGCAATAGCATCATTGCTGGTTTAAAAACACGTGTTTGGTTGTAGTGCACACACGAGACAACAACTGCTCAGCCTACCAGCCACAGTGGCGGGTAAATAAAAGTAGTGTTTATATATTGATTTGTGGCAGACAGTGTCTCAGATTGAGTACTCGGCCTCCTTCGTTAAAATCTCTCACGTTCAGAGCAGAGCCAGCAGTCTCACTGTCGCTGACCAAACCGATTTGTCACTGACCAAACCGCTCGCCGCCTCCTCGTGTCAGAGTGGGTGTCAGTGTTTACAATGAAAGTGAACTGTGGCAGAGCAATCAGGTCAACCTGGACTCTCCCCTCTCCAAGTTCCAGCAAATTGGAACGTGTGCTGGCTAACGAGACGTCTCTCTCTGTTTGTCTTGGGCTTTAACATTGGCCAGTTGCTGGAATTCATTTGGATCTCTATTACAACGGCTCTACCTGCTGAACGTGTATTAAAACTGATGTCTCAGTGTTGATTAAAAGAAGCGGGCTTTGGCTGTGACTCGTGGTCAAAGGAGTGGCTGTACGCACCAAAACTCACGACAGTGTTATTGAAATTATATGCTAATTGTAGCTTTGCTAAAGCTCAGTTAATATAATGACATACATAGTGTATTTCTGAGAAATCCTTCGCAATAAAAGTCCCCACATTTTATTTTGTTGAAACCCTTTTTTTTGTTTGTTGGTGTTTTCAGTAGCAGCTAAACGCAACCATACAAACACGTGGGGAGTCGTGTGAATATGTGTTCATATGCCCAATTCCTTTTATATATGTTATACAACATTAAAATACGAGGTTATATCGCTCTCCTCTCCTCTCCTCTCTTCTCTCTTCTCCTCTCCTCTCCTCTCCTCTCCTCTCCTCTCCTCTCCTCTCTCTCTTCTTCTTCTCCTCTCCTCTCCTCTCCTCTCTCTCCTCTCCTCTCTCTCCTCTCCTCTCTCTCTTCTCTCTTCTCCTCTACCTCCCTTTTTCTCTTTCCCTTCTCATCTTCATCGTCTTCCTCTTTTAGCTTCCCAGTTCTTTTCCTGCATTTTCCTATCTCTTTCACTCTCTTTCCCCTTTCTTGTACTTTTTTTGTCCACTGGAGAGAGGATCAAAAAGAGTAAGGGTGGTAGGTGGAAGAGAAAAAACACAGATCACACTTGCTTTCTTGCTTGTTTGTCCACCTCTCGTAGTGCTAAAGGGAAAGACAAGGTACATAGTGTCCTTGGTTTCACACATTAACACTTCCAGAACACACACACATTTTCAGACACTTAGGCCAGCTGTAGAGAGACATGTACAGGCAACACTTAAACACACACATGGATAGTCAGTGCTGGATTCAAATCAAACAAACTCACACAGCTTGTCTCAACTACAGTTGTTTACACACAAACAGGCTCATACTCTCTTGATCCATTACGTATTAGACAATGGAGGCAGCCATGCAAGCAAGGTAATAATGCTGCTTTTAGATATGCTCTTTTATATACTGCACTGTGACTCACCCTTACACACACACACACACACACACACACACACACACACACACACACACACACATGCACTTAGAACAGACTCATACTCGTCCATCATGGTCTTCACTCTCTCTATCAATACCACTGGCATCAATTCCTTTTCCCTCTTTTTTTTAATCTCACTTCTTTCATTCTTGGTCATTTGTCTTCTCTTTTTTCTTCTCTCCTCCTCTTTCCCTGATTTGAAATAAACATTTTTGGCTTCTTCTCTCATCTAAAAGTCTAGAGGAGACTTCTCAATGTTTGGAGTTAATTATCTATATTAGCAAATCACTTTCACTTTACACAATACATTCAGATGAAAACGTGGTTTACAATATACTACTGAACATCTGCATGCTAGCATTACTATGGTAGATAGATTAGCATGTTAATGCAATTAGCCTAAATAACTACCATGCCATAACACAGCCTCATATACCCGTTGCATGCTGTAAGTGCTTTTGAATTGCTCTGATGATTTAACTCTGATTTTCCTTTTTTAACTCAAGAGCCTTTGATTAGCTTAGACTGCACTTTATTTTTTAAAATACTTCCATATTGTTATTGAATAGTATTGTTATATTCAATCTTCCTCTTGTTATTGGCAACTCTTCTACATTGGGGATTATTCGGTCAAAATAAAACAGGAAACATATCCACATTAGGAGTCATCACGAGGACGGAGGGGGAATTGGAGGAAGGGAAAATGGAGAGATTAATGGATAGAGATGGGGGGTGGAGGGAGAGGGATCGAGGGGCAGAGCTAATAAGACAGGGATAAGGGGGCTTATAAAGTAATGATAAAATGTAGAGTGAAGTCATACAGTTGATTTAGTGTGTGTGTTTCTCTGTGCTTTCGGGGAAGGGTGTATGTGTGTGTTGTGTGTGTATACTTGGCTGATGTCCTTGACTTTATGACTGATTATATCATTGCTTCAGGTCCCTGTTAGGGCAGACAGACAGACAGACTGTGTGTGTGTGTGTGCGTGTGTGTGTTTGTGAGTGTGTGTGTTTTTATAAAACGCTCAAGAATGATTGTGTCTACTTGTATCCGCCCACTCCCTCAGGTCTTCAAAAAACTAAATCACATACAAACAGACCTGGCTTTGTTTTCTGTTATCCTCTCATCCTGTTACAGTCTTTTGTCATTTTACGTGTTTAGAATACAAATGTGTAGTTAAGATAAGATATGATAAGTCACAATACAATACCATAAGAAATTATTAGATTCAGTTCTGTACGATGCAATAGAATTCGATCTGATACGATGTGATACAATATGTTTGGTTATGATGCAATGCGTCTTATTTGGTTTGTTCAAATGCTAAACATTCAGCTGTTTCCTGTGTGGTATGTCAAAAATCTAAAACAATTTTAAAAAAATCAAAGAATCACCATGTATACAGAGAAGTACATTCATTTAAAGGTTTACATTACGCTTTAAAGGTCGTAAGGTCTGTATCAACATTTGGAGTTGAGATTCCTGTGACCACAACAACTCTTAAGTCCTCCCCTCGCTTCTTCATTTTTCCTTTTCGTTTTAAACTATTTCGATTCTCCCTCAATCTACGCTCCTCATTCAACATACATTCTTCCCCGTTCCCCTCCATCGCATGTTTAATTTTATCCGAGTGCCTTCGATGTGAGACGCTAAAAGGACATGTTATGAACAGATGTAAGTGAGGGAAATGAGGAGGCAATAAAGATGAATGAGAAACCACCTCCTGTGAGATTGAGGAAAAGATGTGAGGACACTCAGGAAACTGATTTGTAATGAAAGGAGACCTTTTCCTCTCAGAAGCATTTTTAGGAAATGTCACTCACTGATGATCTTGTCACAGCTTCAGTTTCTCTGTTTGGTCCCAATAGTTTGGAATGTGTACTTAAAGTAACTCTCTGTCTCAATTATGATGATTCAAAGTGCTCATGTTCTTTGAAGAGAGCTTTTGGATCTTGATACAGGTCTCTATGTGATCCTAACTTGTATTGGAGCTGCAGAAACCCAGCAGTGTTGAGTAAGAACAAATATAATTATCAACCTTGTATTCTAATACTATAGTCATTCCCATTCAATCTGTTGATCAGTCAGTCCTTATTTGTATAGCGCCAATTGATAACAAAGGTTATTTCAAGACACTTTCATCTAAACCAGACTCTCGGTTATATTACTGGTACTTACATAGACCCAACATTAATCCCCCATCACCACTGCACATTGCAACATTTAGCAAAGTGACAGTAGAAAGGGAAAACTGCCTTTAAACAGGCAGAAACCTCGAGCAGAACCAAACTCATGTTGAACAGCCATAAGGCACAACCGGAACACAATTTGTTTGTACTGTAAAAACATGATATGACCCAAAAAAATCCGATTATCACTCTTATGTTCAGGGGAGCTTTTATATCACTGCAGAGATGATGATTTATTGCCTTAGTGAGCCTAAGATATGGATCTAGTCAATACTGCAAAGTGAAGAATAAAGGCAAAAATCCACTAAACACTAAATCTGTTCTTTACGTTCTTCACCTGCACTCATGTAACTCTAATGTTGAGCTGTGGTCAAGGTGAAGTGCAAATAAAAATGCTCTATATTAAGTTCACTTTTATGATTTATGGTCCAAAGAAACGATGGAGTACTTGATGCTGACAGTGTTTTTTTGTACTTTATAAGGATCCCACAGACTGTGGGGATCTTTGGAGATCTCTCTGGACAGGAGCAGTATTTTTAAGATGTAGAGGTTGGAGTCATGGTAAATGAATAGATCAAACATTGTGAACAGATCGCCTGAGCATGAGTGATGTCTATAATGGTTCCTTTTTTTTTGTCCCGCCAACATGACCTCCTGCTCTTCACAGCAACACCAGCTTCTAAAGATGTATGCAAGAAGAAGAGGTAAATAACTTCACTGGATTTGACCATTGATCTCCTCCTTCTGTCTTACTCTCTATGCAGGTATTTCGCACGGACTTCATCACAGCCATGAAGCTGCCAGACTCAGCCCAACTCGGCCCTGAGGACTTCTATGTACTCTCCGACCCATGGAGACAAGAGTGGGAGAAGGGTGTTCAGGTCCCCGCCAGCCTGGAGGCCATACCAGAGCCTGTGGTCAGGTAGGACAAACATCAGTCATTTACAGCCAACAAAGCTATCAACTCAAGCAAGGAACAGCAGAGTAGCACATAAAGGATTGTTTCTGTAGCTGTCCATAGTCATTCACTACCTGTGTCCTCTGGCTGCAGTGTTTCTGTGGAAAACTTAGACATTACGTGACCATGTGAACACAAAAAGGTCTTTGCACAGAACTTTGGTTTGCCATGACTAATTGATACCATCAAGACCTCGAACTGTCACTGAAGTTCAATGAAGTTTTAGATTTTAGTCCAAAATTCATTCATAATTAAAAAAAAAAAAAAAAAAGAGTTACACTTCTCCCTGAGATTACTCATCTACAAAAAAACGAGAGTCCTACACAGTAGAATGCTAAATATATTTTAGCATTTATTCTTCTGTAAATGGAATGGTGCAGACATAGGAAACACTCACAACATGGGCACAATCGTACTGAAACCATTTGCACATGTAAGCATTCATGCAAAACACGCACACACACAAACACATCATAAAGTGAAGCAAGCTAGCAGGCAGATGTGTGCAGACATGCACTTCGACCCACTTTTATTCACTTTCATGCTGCTGCAAATTAGCCTGTCTCTGGATCTCTGTCTGTCTGTATGTCTGTATGTCCCCCCCCCCCCCCTCTCTCTTTCTCTCTCCCTCTCTCTCCTCTCCCCCTGGTAGGCTGTTGTGGCTCTCTAGTACTCCTGCAGCTGCTTCTCATGCCCATGTGGTTCATTTGGCATTCTAGGAACTAATGAAAATACTCAGACTGCCTGGTAATGCCTTTTAGACACACATGTCATACCAGGAGGCCACACACAAGCAGACATATAACCACACACACGCGCACACACACCATGGTTTACTTGTTTGGAGACAGGCAAATGATCCACTGATGTGATACTAAGTTAGATTTTTTTTTTTTTTAAGATTTATTTTTGGCTTTTCGTGCCTTTAATGCAGAGAGAGGACAGTGGATAGAGTCAGAAACCAGGGAGAGAGAGTGGGGAATGACATGCGGAAAGGGGCCATGGGTGGAAGTGAACCCGGGCCTACCGCTCGAGACGAGAGTCTCAATCCATGGGACGCGCGCCCTAAACTCAGAATTTCTATATTCATGATTTATTTGCCTGCCTCAAGACAACCACATGCACAGGAGGATCCATAAGCAAAACAAAAATGCACATACTGGTAATAGGTAAAGCTTCTTCCATTTAGATTTCAAAGTAAAGGCTTGTATACTTTTGATGCAGCCAAAAAGTTGTAGAACACAACAAGTTATATGCTGAGAAAAGTGTGCTGCTCATCCAAAGGTTTGGTGTTGCCTTAGTTTCTACTTGGAGGCTTTTCTTCGTGTGTCATGTAACAGAAGGCCTTTTGTTGTCAAACATTTCCTTAATCTATTTAAGCACTACTAAAAGGCACAAATGGTGGCAAGAAGTTACAAAATCCATTTCATAATTTTATGTCGCCAGTCAATTTTTCAGTGGTCAAAAAAAATGCTAAATTGATTTGAAATGGTCATAATGCGGAAAAAAAGAGTACTGAGCTTTGTTTGTGCGCCACAAATCAAAATCAGATGAGCTCTGTTAGATAGTTACTACACAAAATGAAGAGCTGTTCTGAATGAAAAAAAATAAACATCTCTAAAAAGTCAAAAACCTGAGTTCAATCTAAGTTGCAAAATAAATTGACAAACCTTCAGAGGACACCTCAAATCCCAGTGAGTGAAAAGTCTTTTAGTAGCTGTTTGAGTTGAGAAGAGCTCACTCATTTTCTATACTATAAAACAAAAAAGTCAGAAGTCTTAAGAAAGATGAAAGACAAATGATAGATTATATTTGTTTGTATTTGACTTCATTTCTACTAATCATTAATGATGTAAATGAAAACACATTTCTAGAACATCCTCATCTCTCTCACACACACACACACATTAATACCTAATAGATTGGAGGGCGCCTAAAGGCAGAAATGAGATGAGTAGATTGTGAAGAGAAAGAGCACTGGCAGAGATAGATAAGGATAGATGGATGAATGGGGGCTTATTTATTATCTGATGTGTGATAGAATGATGAAGTGATATACAGTGATGCTGAAATGGAGCAATGATTGATAGATGTGGAGATAGATGAGGAGAGGGGTGAGTGTAAGTGTGTGACTAAGCTGATGGTCTATGTCAGAGTCTCTAACAGCAGCTGGTTCATCTTTTTATTTAGTCATCTTTCAAACTGAAGACACTCTTTTCTCTCTCTCTTCTCTCGTTTCTTTCCACTCTTTCCTCTCCATGCACCGTCCTTTGATCGGTTTGGGCTGTGGATTTACGCAAACATGCCTCTATGGTCAGGTAATATTAGGAAACTTTTCCCACACGTGTTTAAGCTATCTTGAACATCAGTGTTATAAAACTTAAGGAAATACCACTAAGCTCTCTTATATCAGTGATAGGGTGTTATATATTGTATGTCAGTTAATAGCAACGTGGTAGTCTTTTTTTTTTTTAAAGATTTTTTTTTGGCCTTGTTGTGCCAGTTTGTTTCAGCTGCTGTCTCTTTAACGGAGCGATATGCAACTCTGACACCTAGCATGTAACAATCAGTGCTGCAGTCCAAATTCAAAACATTGGACCCTTGCCCCCTCCTTACTGGAGTCAGCTCTTCGTCGGTGTTGAAACCTTTCTGCGCTCTAACTTCTCTCCATTTTTCAAAAGTATTTCCAATATTTATCCTTCTTTTACCACATTTCTGGTCATGGAGCTTATTAGAAAAATGCAGCGGCTTATGATTTTGGGTAGAATCAGTGATAGCTGAACCAGTCTCCTTGTCCTCTTCCATCGCTGTAACACCTGTTGGTATCCTGGCAAACCGAGGGGTGCCAAAATGGCCGTGTTGGGGAGCATTAAAACCACCTGCCGTTTCTGGTCAAAACTAATACAGACCATTTAGCACCAGACCAAAACTTAGAAGGAGGACATAGTGGCTCCTACATTGTTGCAAAGACTGGCAACAGGGGAACAGAGGTAATATGGCTGTGTCGTATAGTGACAAGTCCTCATACCACTCAATCTCATTAAAAGGGTTAGAGGTGTGACTAAAGATTAAAACATCACCAAATTACTCAACGAGGAGGAAAAACTGTCTTAAAATATCAGTACATAGACGCAGAGCAGCAGCCATCATGACAGAGTCTGATGTTGAACTGGAAACTACTGTAGCTACCATAGAAGATGCCCCCTTCACTATTAAACCGTTTGTGTGGCAGCTAGTGGAGAACGAACACAGCCGCTCTGTAATCCGTTTGCATGTTCAAAACGGTACAAAAAGATTTCTGTGAATTACACCAAGCTTGTTATTCACAGAAAGATTTATTTTTAGTGTTTGTAAAGTTGATTTCCCTGACGGGGGATAACAAATGCTGTTAATAAAATGATGCAGCTCATTATATTTCAGTCTGTTCTTGGATTTTTTTAAAGCTCTTTCTAAATAAACTGCTTTTATTAATTTTATTGGGATGTTGGCAATGAGTATATAGTGAAGAAATTAGAGGATTGGATACACTATTATATTTATGGAGATACAAAAGTGGACAGCTATACATTTTTCCTAGTCTTCTTTTTTCCTCTCTCCCTTCAAGTCATGTATCTTTCCTTCTCTTATTAGTTATTTTTGTCTCTTTCGTCTTCCTTTTTTTTTTTTAGATGTCTTCATCTCTACATCTCAGCCTGTCTCTGGCTTCCCTCCCTCCACTCCCACCTTCCCCTTTTACTTTTGCTCTAGTTGAGCCGGAGGCGCAGACACATTTTTCTTTTTTTATTATGAATAATGACATCATCTCCTAAAATTGTTGGCAAGGAAAAGGGCTGCGGGCCCTGTCTGGCTCTGACAACACCCGTCTTCCACATTTCTGTCTCTCTCTTTGGACTGTATTTGGCTGCCGCTGCACGATTGTCGGTAAAAACTGTTGTGCGGGACACGAAGAGGTCATTATGGTTTGATGCTGTTTTCTTTTTTGCATCTCCTTCCAAAAAACGCAGAAGGAGAGATGCACAGAGGAGTTCTGCTCCTCTATCTATCCTACTGTCCTTTTTTCTCTTCCCTTTTGTTCCTGTCCCGTTTCTCTCTCCCTCATTCTTTTCTGTTCTTCTTTTCTTTTCTTTTCTTTTTGTTTTATTTCGTTTAAGTTCTAAAACAATTCGTTCCTTCCCTTTGGTTGTCTTTGTCTCTTGCCATTGTATACTTTCACTCTCTTCCCCTTTCCCCCCCTCTGTCTCTCTCGTTTTCTCCTACTCCCTGTCCATGGTTTAGCCGGGGCCGAGTGGAAGTAATTAGCCATTGCGTAACACTAGCTATGTGCAGACAGTGAATGGGGCTTTGGCAGCGACTAGACAGCCTCAGTCCCCAATGACATCCCCGAGCCGGAGAGAGAAATAATTACCCACACACAAGAAGATCTGTGTATTTTCACAAAATGAAAGGAATGATATAGCTGCTATTTTATTTATTGCTTGGTATTTCTCCCTTCGGACTGGTGGCCAAGTTTGTGAATGTGAACCCCTTGTTTGTGGTTTGGCTGAACATGTTAGCTTTCTGAACATCGTGTAAAGCTGTGGCCACGGGGAGCACACCATGGAGAGACTTCTTATGAAAGAAGTTTATATTTTGTTGGACAAAAAGATTGATTCTGCATGTTTAAAAACCCAACAGTTCTTGGTAAGGCTAAGTCATATTTTACAGCCTTGTCAAACTTAATGGTGCTGATCAATTTGTTTTGAAAACGGGGTTCTCATGAGATGTTTTAAGCTTCAGTTCAGTTGCATGACATCGTGAGGTCACCAGTGGTGGAAAATCTGTAGGTCAGGTTTCCAGAAGCTTTTCTAAAATGCAAAACTTGGGTCAGACATGCATGGTTCCCATGCAAAACCTTTGGTCAACAGTCTTTAAACCCAGAGGGGATGGAAAGTGCAAACAGTGGAGAACATGTAGATACTGTTCCG